CAACAGATGCAAACAMTGGAGACTCATTTAGCTTGCAGGAAAGTTGCTTTACCTTGCATCTTTTGGGGTTAGGACTATGGCTGGGTTGAGCTGCATACGCTTCTTTGTATTTTTGTTCTGCCTTTTTTTTTTTTTTTTTAAGATTCTGACTTGATGGAGATCACCACCCCTAATTATCTGTGGACTCTTTCTTATTCCATTCATTTAAAAGTTTACCCATTTGGAATTTTACTTATAGCTTCAAGGTCAATGATAAAGCTACATGTTAGGGATGACTCAAAAAATCCCCAAAGATCTATTAGAGCAATTGTAGAAAAAGTCATTTGAACTAGTGTGATATAAAATTCTCTAATAACATGGAAATTTCATGTRCTTAATAAAAATAACTGCACGGAGCAATATTAATGGTAGGAGGGAGCTAAAATAAGGAGGATTGGTGAAAATCTACTCTTTCCTCTCCAGGTAAAAGAATGGAGGTTTATCCTCTGGAGATAGTAAAAACGGGAGACACAGGCAGAGCTGAGGGAGGGCTATTGTATTAAACCAATGGTTAAAAGCTGAGACTGACTTTCCCTATCCAACTTTCATTCACTAGGCTCCAAGCAGAACTTTAATCTTACTGGAATATTTTAAGACTCCTCTTTGAGGAAGTTGATTATGATTCTGATATTGGAAATTCTTCCAACCACCAAGGAACAAGATATTCCCTTTAGTGAAACTTATAGACTGCAMACCCTGTGTATGTGCTCAGAACTTCCTTTTTCTTCTGGCCACTTCCTCCACCCCACTCCCCTCCCCTTACTGGGGATAGAACCCAGAGCTTCACAAATTCTAGACAAGTGCTCTACCACTGAGTTCCATCCCCAGACCTTTTTGAGACATGCTGTCACTAAGTTGTCCAGGCTGGCCTCAAACCTGCAATCCTCCTGCTTCAATCTTCCAAATGGTCTTTCCCACTCTTAAAATTACCCCAGCAATCCAAGGAAAATCACTTAATGTAAAAGGGATCAACATAAAAATAACAACAACAACAAAAAGGAATTTGATAAGGCTTTAAATTTTACCCTCTGAGAAATAAGAAATTACATACATAAGAATAAAATGCTTGAAAAAGGAAACTTGCAGATGCCAAAAAAGCTTAAAGAAATTGAAAAGATAAATGAAAAATTTGATAGAAAGGTTGAAAGATGGCTGAGAAAATCTAGATACTAGAACTTAAAAGCAAAGAAAAGGGGCTGGAGTTGTGGCTCAGTGCCAGAGCACTTGCCTAGCATGTGTGAAGCACTGGGTTCGATTCTTAGCACCACATATCAATAAATAAAATAAAAGTCCATTGACCACTAAAAAAATATTAAAAAATAAAAAAGCAAAGAAATGGGAAGAGGGGGAAAAAAAGAAAAAATTTGAGGACTAGTCCAGCAGGCCTAATGTTTCAAATAAGTTTCAAAAAAGGTCAAATATCAGAGAAAAATCATCAGTGAAATTTTCAAGATTTCCCAGAACTGAAGAGCCCAAGTTTCCAAATTCAAAGGGCCAACTCACTCAGAATAATGGTCAAAAAATAACCCAAAGCACATTGTTGGGATATTTTAGAATACTGAGACCCAGATGTGAGTTTTGTGGGTCACAAAAGGTCATGAATTAGAATGGCTTGAACTTCCCTTTAGCTACAACAGAGGTCAGAAGACCATAAAGAAATTCCCTTGACTTTCTGAAATAAAATGATTTTCAAGTGTAATCCTATACCTAGCCAGTGTAAAGGCAGAAGGATGCCATTTTTAGACATGCAAGGTCTAGGAATATTTATCTCCCTTGCATTTTTTCCACCTCAGGAAGATCAAGAAGATAAGCAACACACACAGTAATGTAAGCAGAATCCATGGGATATACTGAGCTCCACAACAGCAGTGACATGAGTCGTATTCCAGAAGATGGCTGAGAGTGAAACCTGAGTGCAGCTGTGCACTAGGTCGGAAGGGACCAGAGCCAGGCACAGGGTCCTGAAGTTTTCTTTCCAAAGATGAAATAAACTGATGCRAACAAACTTTTTGAAAAGACATTTTTATAACTGAAAATTTGTAATAGAATTAGTGACAAATATTTTAAAAACTAATCAAATGAAAGAACAAAACAATAACTAGTTCAAAAGAAAAGTCCAGGAAACAAACCTACCATACTTCTAATTTTTTTTTAATATTTATTTTTTGGTTGTAGAGCCTCCCATGTGCTAGGCAAGTGCTCAACTACTGAGCCACAACCCCAGACCTCGTCTAACTTTATTTTTTTWAAATTTTTTTCAGTTGTATATGGACACAATACCTTTATTTTGTTTATTTTTTTATGTGGTGCTGAGACTCGAACCCAGTGCCTCACACATTAGGTGAGCACTCTACCATTGAGCCACAGTTCCAGCCCCTCTTCTAACTTTAATGTGCCTAAGAATCATCTGCAGTCCCACTACATATATCTGAATTGTRGACTGGCCCAGAGATATTGCATTTTTTGCAAGTACCCAAGGGAGCCCAGTCCTGCTGGACCCATGACCATCTTTTTTTTTTTTTGGTGGTGTTGGGGATCAAACCTAGGGCTTTATGAATGCTAGGCTAGTGCTCTATGGCTCACTGAGCTACATCCCCAGCCCTTAACATACCTTTGAGTAGCAAAGGTACCACATGGCTCTGCTATTAAAGAAATGTATAATAAACTATGAATAGTAATTAAAATTATGAAATATATAGGTAAGATGGGAAACACATGTGTGATTAGAGAGAAGAAAGGAAAACTAAATCCCCTCTCTGCACAGATGGAACTCAATACCTAAAACTGAAAACTAGCTGGCTTACCAAATTCTGTATAATTTTCATAATAAAATCCTTAAAAAGAGGGTGGGCCAAGGATATGAACACAGTTCCATGAAATAAATATAAATAGCATCTCACATATGAACAAATGTTCAGCCTTGCTCACTGGAAAAAAGATTCCAATTTTTCAATTAACTATTGGCAAATGAGAAAAATTCCTCTCTGTGCCAATTGCTTTAGAAACAGCAATATATTGCTACAGTAGTTTTAAAACCTTGGTAATCCTTATTGCTCCACAAGTTTAGATTCCAGTCATCTTTCTGTGACAAAATTTTCAAGTTTGTTGTCTCAGTATTCATTCTTAACTACTTTCTTCCTTTGATGCCTCTACTGCTAAGTGTTGAAAAAGTTACATATTCACTTTCCCAGCCTCTCTTGAAGCTAGGTAGATGTGTGCCACAACTCTTACTGAGACTTAAGTCTTCTGGGAAGGATTTTAAGAATTTTTTTGCTTTTTATTTATTTGGTACTGGGGTTGATTACAGGTGCACTTCACCACTGAGCTATGTCTGCAGCCCACCATTTTTTTTTTTTTTCCTTTGAGATAGGGTCAAAGGAAAAAAATGATGAGGCTGGCCTTGAACTTGCCATCCTTTTGACTCATCTTCCCGAGTTGCTAGGATTATAAATATGTGCCATGGCACCTGGCTTCATTTATTTATGGTACTGGGGACTGAAACCAGGAGAGCCTTACCTACATCTCCAGCTCTTTTTATTTTTTGAGACAGGGTCTTGCTAACTTGCTGAGACTGGCCTTGAATTTGCTATTCTCCTGCCTCAGTCTCCCACATCGCTGGAATTACAGGTGTGGACCATTGTTTCTGGCTTGCTTTGTAGCTAGCATACCAATCTTTTTTTCCTGCCTTGCACTCTTATGTAATAAGTTTGGTGCCATGTCAGCTCTTTCTTATAATAAATATAATAATCTTAGGAACATGCCATGGACAGTAAAGTAGAAAGACACAAAGGGCATCACTAAGAGCTGAACCAACAACTAGAATAATCTCCTTTGGGTTTCATGTTATTAAAAAAAAATAAAGTCATAGATGGGTGTGGTGCTACATGCCTGTAATCCTGGCACCCTGAGAGGCTGAGGCAGGATAGCAAGTTTGAGGCCAGCCTCAGCAACTTTAGCGAGATTCTGTCTCAAAATAATAAAAAGGGGGGCTGGGGCTGTAGCTCAGTGGTAAAGCACTTGCCTCAAATGTGTGAGGCACTGGGTTTGATCCTCAGCACCACACAAAAATAAAGATATTGTGTGTTCATCTACAAGTAAATACTTTAATAATAATAATAATAGTAATAAAGAGGGCTGGGGATGTACCTCAGTGATTACGCCTCCCCCCCAGCCAAAAAAAAAAAAAAAAAAGGTCCTGCCTGTATTACTCATTGTTTTCTATTTCACAGCCAACCATATTCCTAAGAGATCTACTTTTCCAAAAAGTCAAGTCCTGAATCATGTTTTACACATACTTCCCCAACTCCAGTACTTGTTTATATAATTTGCTATATTATCTTCACCAAAAAATTTTTTTTTATCACCAAAAAATTTTTAAGGAGCAAAATATTAAACAAATGGAAATATTCTTTTTAAAAAAATGTTTATTTTTTAGTTGTAGTTGGACACAATATCTTTATTTTATTTATTTTTGTGTGGAGCTGAGGATCGAACCCAGGGCCTCGCATGTGCTAGGCAAGTGCTCTTCCGCTGAGCCACACTCCTAGCCCCCATATTCTTGTTTTTTAGACAGAATCTCTTTATATAATAGCCCAGATTCAAGTGATCTTCCCACCTCAGGTTTCTGAGTAGCTAGAATTTTGGGGTTTGCTTGTTTGRAATCAGGATTGTTTGATCACAAGTAATAAAAATTACAGAAAATGGGATTTTCTGGAGTATATGAAGTAGCTCAYAGAATTCAAGGAAGAGCTAAATCAGTCCTTAGGAAGAATAGGAACTCGCATAACTTAAAATCACCACTTTTAGAAAGAACTCTGAAATTCTAAAGGTCTTTTCCAATTCAGTTCAAGATAATTTTTATTTATTTTTTAAAAATACTTTTTAGTTGTAGATGGACACAATATCTTTATTTACTTATTTTTATGTGGTGCTGAGGATCAAACCCAGTGCCTCACACATGCAAGACAGGTGCTCTACCACTGAGCTATAACCCCAGCCCTTAAGATAATATAAAATCAGCAAATCTAAAGCGTAAGGACTTTCTATATTACAGAAAAAACAAACAAACAAAACCCCCAGAAACTGAACGATTACTGTAAAGTATTAAAAGAATGATTTACAGACTGTTCATTGATCTCCCCCTATAAGAAGTTACCATTTTCTTCTCTTGTAGGGTCGCATTGTCCAAGTTTACACTACCTATTTACTCTCTTAATGCCTCCTCTACTGGCATTAATTGCTTCATAAGCAAAAGTCATAGGCAGTTTGAAAATTTTATTTCATCAACTTAAAAGATGAACAAAATGTGTATTTAAAATCTTATTAAGCATTTATCTGACATACATAGAGGACAAACAGGATTTCAAGTAACTTATGAGACAGTCTACTGCCATTTAAAAATATTCTTTTATCCACAAAACCTCTTAATTGAAAGACAAAATAAAACCTCCAAAGCAACAAATATCTTGTCTTTTATACTGTACAAATGTTAGATGCAAACTTCTGATTTATTTCATTCATTGTCAACTCTGATGATGAAGATGGGAGGTATAAATGTTCCCAGTTCAGTCAAATGATGAAAACAAAAAGCTGTTTCCCTCAGATACAAAGAAGTCTTCTTCATTCATTTCTCTTACAGCAGGATCACATACTTGATGCTCATACCAGATCACTTCTTCTTCTTTCCTTTCCCTTTTTTACTTCCCTCTCCTTGCTGAAGACTTGGGTCACCACCTCCTGTTTTTTGTGTCCTTGTTTTTAGCTTAGGTATCATTTCTGCTGCATACAACATTACTGATTTACCTAGGAACCAGAAGTTAGGTTTAGTGTATAATCTAAGACATAAAAGATCATTAACTTGAATATCGTAAAGTCTAAGAAACTGCCACATCAAGAAAATGGGAAGACATTTTAAATAATCAAATGATCATAAAGACAGTAACTTGCTCAAATCAGTGCTTTTGCTGGAGAAAATACTGAGAACAAGAAAAAAATATTTACGTGTACAAAGTGAAAATACAAAACATTAAGTTTGAAACAAAAATTCTGTTTTGTTGGGTGTGATAATGCATATCTGTAGTYCCCGCAACCTGAGGGACTGAGGCAAGAGGATTACCAGTTTGAGACCAGCCTCAGAAACTTAGTGAGACCCTGTTCCAATATAAAAATAAAAAATTAAAAGGGCTGGAGATGTAGCTCAGTAGTAAAGTGCCCCTAGGTTCAATCCCCAKAACCAACAAAACAAAAAACAAAAAAATTATGGTCTTGGTTCTAGTAATTGGCTGAAAGATCAATGAAGAATATATCTAAATACAACAAACTAAAAACAAGAGTCAGACTATCATTATAACTTAAGCTTCTGAAACACAGGGTCTCTCAGCCTTTTAACAACAAAAAAGTCATTAAGCTAAACAKATCTTATTCATATGCCCAGACAATCTATACATACATGCACTCCTGCTATGCCCACCCCAACCAGTTACTTTCCGTACTCCAATAAATGAAGCTCCTCAGCTTTGCTCTTTTTTAGTGACTACTATCTAATTAGAAACAAGAAGCAACCTTTTTTTCAAACACAATTTTTACTTCTATTTTCTTTTTCTTTTTAATATTTATTTTTTAGTTTTCGGTAGACACAACATCTTTATTTTTTATTTTTTATTTTTATGTGGTGCTGAGGATCGAACCCAGCGCCCCGCACATTCCAGGCAAGCACACTATCGCTTGAGCCACATCCCCAGCCCTTACTTCCATTTTCAAATCAAAAGCTCTTTTTGCTTGTTTTTGATCTTTTGAGAGAGTAAAAGGAAATGTCAAAGAGAAGAAAAAAATACATTGGAATGTATTATCTGTCACATTTGAGTCAGAATCTTAATATATAACAATACCTACCAATCCGGATAGAATTTGGTATATAAGAACCAATCAATCTGAATTTGACTAAAAACAATCACATCGTCAAATTTCCTGTCATATTGTTTTTAGTTGAATTAAACAGAAGAGTTTAATTAAATTGAAGGAAAAAATTATATAGCTTCATTTCTTAAAAAATTAAAAATAAAACAAAATTTCAGAAAAATAAATAACATATAAACACTTACCTTACCAATACTCAGAACTAATAGTTTGTTATACTGGTGTCTAGCTTTGTTTTGATTTTTTTTGTCCCCCCTCCCCAATAAAGTATTAGAGATGATGCTAAGAGTTCCCTAAACTCTCCACTCCCCACCCCCACCCCACTGCTTTAAAAAAAATTACAAAAAAAAACCCAAAAACATTTCTACAAATAATATACCTATTCATCTTCAATAAATAGCAATATTTGAGCAACTAACGTTCACTGATTTATTAACTTTATACTTTTTTTTGYGGGGGGTGGGGTGTTTACCAGGGATTGAACTCAGGGGCACTCAACCACTGAGCCACATCCTCAGCCCTATTTTGCATTTTATTTAGAGACAGGGTCTCACTGAGTTGCTTAGCACCTCCGCTTTTGCTGAGGCTGGCTTTAAACTCATCATTTTCCTCAAGCCTCAGCCTCCTGAGCTACTGGGATTATAGGCATGCGCTACCACACCTGGCTAACTTTATACTTTTAATCTGGGAACAATGACAGTCTTCTAGAAGTTTATAAAATGCTCATCACACAATTAGTAAGTTTCATCACATTCTCAGAGATTCTTAACCTAAAAGAAATTAAAACTACTGTTTACCTCTTTCCATAAGCAGTAGTCTTTTCTCTAAATTAATATGTAGAATGTAAATTCATTTATACCTTTCAAAAGGTCAGTTTTAGAACCTCTGTTGTGTCACAGAAGAAAAAMATATTCCTAAAGTTTATTTATTCATTAAAAAAAGCTTACGTGATGGGAACTGTACAAGACAGAGGCTGCCATCTTCCTGTCTGAGCTGGACCCGGACTCTGCCTCTGTATTGAACATCACGATTCCATTCTCTAGAGTACATTTTATTTTTCTAATGTAAATAAAACAAAACAAAAACAGGCTTTTAAGAAAGTCATCATATCAATGAGTACAGAAAATAGTGAAGGAAGAATCACATCATACCTCAACAAACACATTAAGTCCAACTGCTGAGCATACATCTTGAATCTCTGTAGCTGTAGGATTTTCAACAGCCTGAACAGTTAAAAACAAAAACATTAAATAGCTTAGCTTTAAGAGAATACTGTTATACAGTTGTATAAATCACTTTAAATACTATGATCAAAACATGTACCTAGGGGCTGGGGCTGTAGCTCAGTGGCAGAGCACTTGCCTAGCATGTATGAGGCACTGGGTTCAATCCGCATCACCACATAAAAATAAACAAATAAAATAATGGCACTCTGGCCATCTACAACAAAACAAAACAAAGATTTACCTAAACCCTATCTTTTCTTACTAGGTACAGTGTTTTCAATTTTAATTTTAAAAATTCCTGGGAATTACACTGATTCATACTTGTGTGTCTTTCTTCCAACCAGAACATAAATTTAATGAGGGCAATGACTTTGTTTTATTCACTGGTATTTTCTCTAACATCTAGATTGGTACTTTGACTATAGTAGGTGCTTAATGAATATTGACTGGTTGAACACACATAACCACTTAAGAAGCAGTATCTAATAAAGTTTAATTTATGTTTCCCTATGGCCTTGAAATTTCATCCTATGTGTGTGTGTGTRTATATATATATTTTCCCCCCCAATGGAAATAAAAAAAAATATATTCATCAAACACAAGCTCAAGAGTGCTCACAGCATTATTTGTAATAGCCCCCAAATTAGAAACGACCTAATTAATCTATCAAGAGAACAAAGGAATGTAGTATTCTGCTGGTAGTGGTTTCCAGCAAGGGAATTTTACTTTCCTCCCCACTTTTCAGACATTTGGCAATGCTTAGTGATAACTAGAAAAGATGGATATTTATCATCTAGTTGGCAGAGGCCAGGGATGTTGCTAAACATTATAAAATGCACAGGACATACCACTATATAAAGAATTATCTGGCTCAAAATGTCAATGATGTTGTTGTTGGGAAACTGCTACAGAGCAATGGGAATTAAACTACACTCAAAGGGTTTAGGGGTTAGCTCAGGGGGACAGCACATACTTAAGCATGCACAAGGCACTGGGTTCAATCACCAGCAAAAAAACATAAAAAATAAACAAAAACCTACACTCAAAAATGTGGACCAATCTTATAAGCTTAAAGTTCAGTGAAAAGAAGACATAAAAGTATACAGCAAATAATCCTATTTTTATAAAATTTAAGAACAAGCAAGTATAATGTACGGTGCTGGAAATCAGGATACTGTTTATCCTTATATAAGAGAACATATGTGGAGGGGACACTGACTGGGAAAAGACATAAGAAATCTTCCTATAGCTGATAATGTTTTAAAATTTGTGGGCTGGTTACCCAGATGTACTCCCATTGTGAAAATTGCTTGAATTATTAAATTTATATATGTTATATATAAAGTTTAAAAAAATTCAGCCATTCTTCTGACAGAATCTGTCACAGTGGCTTGACAGGGCATTATTCCAGAACAAGTGCTTTGATATCTCTTTTCACCTGAGGCAGCAAAGTAGACTGTACACATTGAAAAAGCAGCAAAATAAGAGACATTAAATAATACAAAAATATTTAATTCATTGCTTCAGACCAATTTGCCTTAAACTTGTCATTAGATTATACAATGTAAATGACTCTTTAAATGTAGAATATGGCTGGTAGTGGCATGTAACCCCAGCAGCTSGGGAGGCTGAGGCAGGAGGGGGATCACGAGTTCAAAGCCAGCCTCAGCAAAAGTGAGGCACTAAGCAACTCAGTGGCCAAGTGCCCTTGAGTTCAATCCCTGGTACCCACCCCCAAAATAAAAATAAAAATAAAAATATACTATGACACACTGGGCATGGTGGTGCAGGCCTGTAATTTCAGTGATTGGAGAGGTTGAAGCAGGAGGATCCCAAGTTTGAGGCCAGCCTTAGCAACTAAGCAACACCCTGCCTCAAAAATTAAAAATAATTTCTTAAAAAAATAATTTTTACTAGTGGCAAAGCACCCCTGGGTTCAATCCACATTACAAACAACAAAACAAAACAAGTAAGAATGTCTTTAATTTTGCATTGGGCAGTTTCCAAACTGAAGCCAACAGACCACCTGAAAACTTGAGTTTTCCTATCCAAAATCCCCCTTTTTCCTGTTGCAAGCACTCTACCACTGAGCTACATACCCCGGACCTGATTCTTCCCTTTTAAAAAGYACTAAAGTAAATTTACCTCTTTAAACTGCAGAGCTGGGTGGCACAAGCCTGTAATCCCAGCCACTAGGGAGCCTGAAGCAGGAGGACTGCAACCTCAGCAACTGAGGGAGGCCATAAACAACTTAGAGAGACCTGTCTCAAAAAATAAATAGAGGGCTGGGGATGTGGCTCAGTGGTTAAGCACCCCTGGGTTCAATTCTTGGTGAAGACTGTCATAATTATGGTTAAAACAGACACTCCCCCACCCCATTTTATTCTTTACAAACAAAGGTTCATTAAGAACTGTTTCAAAAATCCCTTCAACCTATGCAACAGCGTCTTTCCGGTTTCATCAACATTAAGGAAAGCACTCTAATCTTGGCTGCTGTTCTCCTCAGGCCTTAAAGAAATGCAGTGAAGTAAAAGAAACCTTTGTGGCCTGTTAGGACAACCTCCCTGTCCTAGATACCAGTCACCACTCACCTTACTTATGGGGATCCTCCTTCCCTCCGCGATGGTCTTCTTATTATTTAAATAAGCAGGATAGATACAAATAAACCTGACACAGAAAAAGCACAGCTGTTATAACGAGAGCAGTGTTCCAGTCACCATCTTCGTGGCAGGGGCATCTACACTATTAATTGCTTAATTAATAGTTTTTCTTTAAATTGCCTTTTACTTAATTCACTTAAAAAGAAAACTATTCATTACCTTATGGAAAAATAGAACACTACTGTTARAGAAGGTTAAAAACAACAACGAAAACAAAAACCGATACGGTAACTGTTAACGTTAAGCAAAGCTGCCCGTCAAAAGTTCCCGAGGGTGGAGTCCACCTTTCTGCACGAAAGCACAGCGTAGGGAGTATTAAAAACTTTGTTATTCTAACTCATGACCTCGTAGCACCTCAAATCCTCTTTTTCTGATACAAAGACTGAGATACCTAGGCTCGGGAATTTAGCGACCCTGCGAAAAGCTTGGTACTGCAGGCTTCCCGGCCGGGGAAAAGACGACGTGGAGTCTGAGGCTCACGTCGAGCGCAGGGGGCCAAGCCCTTCTCAAGACCCGGGGGTGGGGAATTGTGGCCCAGCATCTGCGGCATCGCAGCAAGGCCCCCTACCCCTTTTTTTGGTCCCCAGCTCAGGACTCACCTGTCTTGGTCCGCCGGGGACCGTGAGGCGGCGCAAGCCATGTCCACAGACAGCACAGACTCCGCCCACAGAAAATCAGCCGGAAGTTACGAAACCACCCGCTCTTCCGGCGGAACTCCGACCCACCAAAGTGGCCCTGCGTTCGCTGCTTTTCAACGCCGGTTTGTTCCAGCACCTGTCGCTCGGAGCCGTGACGTCTGGATTGACGTGGCTTGTTAACCTTTCTTCTCGCGAGAAGACTGAGAACGATTCCTTTCCACTTTTCTTCCATTGGAGTGCTTTAGGGGCGTGGATTATCATTTATTTTTTATTAATTAATTAAACGTTTCCTCGTTCCCCGCTTCACACCAAAGTTGGGTGACACTATTTACGCTCGCCCGTGGGTGAAGGCTGTAAGCTGATGGGAGTCTGTGTAGTATGAGGCGAAAATACAAGTTAGAGCAGGCAAGAAAATGTTTTTTATGTTTAATTTTGTTTCCACTCCTACTTCCCGCAGATTGAACCTTTTTTTTTTTTTTTTTTTTTTTTTTTTGCTAGGTATTGAACCCACGGCCTTGTGCATGCCAGGCAAGCACTCTACCAACTGAGCTATACCCCCAGTTTGAACCTTTTTTTTTTTTTTTTTTTTTTTTTTGTGCTAGGTATTGAACCCACGGCCTTGTGCATGCCAGGCAAGCACTCTACCAACTGAGCTATACCCCCAGTCCAAGATTGAACTTTTTAAAGTGAAGGAATTAGCAAAATTTTTGGTAGTTGCGTTTCAACGTACTATATGTTAGAAACTTTACTATTCACCTTTTAAAACATCTTAAGGACATCTTATAGACTAAAATTAATCATGATTTTGTATGCTTTGTTGATGTGTAGGGAGAGGAACACTCCACCTCCATCTTAAGAGTTTCAGCTGGCTCCTAGAATTAAAGTGACATAAGGTGGATTAAAAGGAGAAACGGATAGTGCAAATTTAATGTCGTACTGTAGATTTAACAAAAAAATAAAGATCCAAAGAAGCAGGGCCAGTTACTTATATACTGCATTATACAAATAATAGTGTGAAGAAGCAACTAAATCATTTGGGTAGGCGTAAAAGATGAGTTATTATCAAAATCTGTACGGAATCCTCGAGAATAAGGACAGTGTCTTTCACAGGGGAATTTCATTTTTTTTAAAAATGGCAGAAATATGGAAGTGATCGTTTTGAACCTGCTGTTTTTCAAGTGTCTGGTTTACTTAATATGTCATTGAATAGCATATTTTAACCTCTTCAATTGCAAAGCATTACTTCACAGCATTTCTGTTCAACTAAACATACCTTCATTCCTATATTAGCAGTGGCTGTTTATTCCATTTTTACAATGGAACTTTTCAAAGAAACAGGTAAGACATTTACTTTATTTATAGATTAAAAAAAAAAAAAAGACTAAAGAACCAACTAAACAAAAATCTCTCCAAAAGCTGAGTCTCAGTGAGTTTGGATAATCTGCCCATTTGCAGTAATAATGGCTGAGCTCAGGGCATCAGTCTCTCTCCCTCTCTGTATATCTCTGTATCTGGTGATATAGATATATAGAGCTCTCGTTTTTCTCTTTGCGCGCGCGCACACACACACACACACACACACACACACACACACACACACACTAGAAATTAAGGAGATGGTCTGAAGTTTAATGCAGTAACCTGGTTACCATGGAGTTGTTTTTTTAGAGCCATTTAAGTAATTGGGGACAAAAGGGCAGTATTGGTGGTTACTTTTTCTGGCTTATACACATTAAGGGAATTAATGACACAGATGATGGAGCTAATATTACTTAGTGCCATTTCTTTTTCTTTTTTAAAATTTTTTTCAGTTTTCAGTGGACACACATCGTGATTTTTATTTTACGTGGTGTTGAGGATCAAACCCAGCACCCTGGGCATCCCAGGYGAGCACGTTACCGCTTGAGCCACATCCCCAGSCCTATTTAGTGCCATTTCTATGCCACTGTCGTATTTAACTCTACACTATTTCTGAAATACTGTTCAAGGAGAGAGGCTTGATTTGTGATATTGCAAAGTGAGAGAAAGAAAGTGATGGAGGAGCAGCCATAATAAGAGATAAAACATCTGTTGAAGGCTTAAGATTAAAAGTATTCAATAATAAAAGACAAGGTTGTGGATAAAAAAAAAAAGACAGTAAAATTTCTTTTTTACAAAGATAAAAACAAAACCCTATAAACAGGGGTGGGGCTTTAGCTCAGTGGCAGAGTGCTTGCCTAGCATGTGAAGCACTGGGTTTGATCCTTAGCACCACATAAAAATGAGCAAAGGCATTTTATCCATTTACAACTACAAAAATAAAAAATATTAAAACCATATAAACATACAAATAGGAAACAAAAGTTTATATATAATTTAAAAACTCAGACCAGTGTTGAAACATTTCAGCAGTAGTAAACATCAGAAGCTAAGAGTTCTGTGGAAAAAGAATTGTGACCAAAATTATACTTTGTGTGAAGGCAAAAAAAAAAGCAATTTTAAACTAAGAGTAGAATTAGAAAGCATCCCTAATTTAGCTTTTCTGAAAAAAAAAACAGGAAATATTTCAGCCAAGTTAAATTAATGTAAAGAACTAAAGAAAATCAAAGACATGAAATATAAACATTGATGAATACTGAAAACTGATACTTAGATTTAAATACTGATAATTTTTTTTTTTTAGAATTTTTAATATTTATTTTTTAGTTCTCGGCGGACACAACATCTTTGTTTGTATGTGGTGCTGAGGATCGAACCCGGGCCGCATGCATGCCAGGCGAGCACGTTACCGCTTGAGCCACATCCCCAGCCCCTTAATTACTGATAATAATAGTGAAGTTAATTTTAATGATTAGTCTGAAAATTTAAAACAAGTTAATAAATACTAGGAAGGACAAAAGAATGAGGGTGCCAACTGAAATAGCAAACATCTCTTTCTAAAATCATCGTAGTCACTGCACCGCCAGGGTCTTCACTGGCCATGCTACCCCAGCTGGGACCTTGGACTCAAACAATGTTGCTATGTTTCTTTCCTTTTGTTCTCTCCATCTCTTCTCCTCAGCCCCCAATTCCTGGACCACCCCAAGAATTTCAAATTCTTGCCTTTCTTAAGCAAACTTACTAAAATCCCCCTATCCAAATTCCAGGTTTATCTTTATAGATCCCCAAATCAAGGTCCTCAGCTAAAGGAAAGTACCTTCTGAGAACTTTTCTTTAACAGGATTCATTCTTACAAGAGGATGCTACAGTTTCAGGTAACTGTTCTTTTGTACAGATTAATTCCCGTTTCCWACATTGACAGTCTCACTGTTCCCATGATAATCTTCATTTTCTCTTTGTATGTCTAAATTTTCCCCTTCATTTGGTGATATATTATTTGGCACTTAAAGATTATTTCATGACTGATGTTTATCTTGTTTTCTTCATCGTATTTAATGCCTTTTCTTCAGAATTATGTTTTGGCATATATCTGCCATACTGGCTTCTTTGCATTTGCCTGTATAAGTGTGGTTATACGTTTGGTTTTATTCATTTGGGATCATTTAAAAATCGTTTGGTAATGCAGTATTTCATTTTTCTTTAGTTGTAGATGGACACAATATTTTTATTTATTKTCATGTGGTATTGAGGATTGAGTCCAGCTCGTCACATGTGCGAGGCAAGCTGAGCTACAACCATAGCCCGATAGTGTTTATTTTATTATATGTGATCAGTACATTTATTTGGTACTGTTCCTCTACTTTATGCTTTGTTTTGATTAACCCTTCCTCAATTCCCCTTTGTTCTTTAGCATTTTAGTCAAGTATCTTTAGTTATTTTAATGATTTACTAGCTAAAACCTGGAAAAACTGACTTAAATTTTTTTTTTCCGTTGTAGATGGACACAACGTCTTTATTTTTATGGGGTTCTGAGGGTTGAACTCAGTTCCTCACATGTGCTAGGCAAGCATTCTACCACTGAGCCACAACCCCAGCCCAACTTCTTTTTTAACATTGGGGTTTCCACTAAATTAAAAAAATTAAAATCATGTTCTTCCAAGTTAAAAATAACATAGTATCTGTTGACATTACTTATTTAGCATGTTTTTACCTCTTCCCTACCTTCTAACTCKTGTTTCCCTATTTGTGTTGGAATAATCTTGAATTTAAAATCATTAAAATTATTAAGCATTTAATTTTTTGTTTATCTGGACACTTACACTGAGATTCATTGTCAGAGTAACCACAATTATTTATACTACTTCTTTTTTTGGCAGGGATAGGGTACCAGGGATTGAACTCGGGGGCTTCTGAATGCTGCCTGTTGTTCTGTGGTGTTTTTCTTCTTTGCCATTTGGTGTTGTAGAAATCTGATGCTAATCTTTTTTTAGGCAACTATTTCTCTCCTCACTAATGTTTTTAGAACATCTTCCTCTTTCTGGGCATGGTGACACATATCTGTAATCCCAGTGACTTGGGAAGCTGAGGCAGGAGGACTGCAAGTTTTGAGGCCAGCCTCAGCAACTTTTACAAGGCACTAAACTACTTAATGAGACCCTCTCTTGCCCCCCCTCCCCCAATAAGAAAACAAAAAGGGCAAAAGGTGCCTAGGATGTAGCTCAGTGGTCCTTGAGGTCAATCCTTACTTCCAAACAAAATCACCACCAAAAGTAAACAAAACAAAAAAACACAAAGTTATCTTCTATCTTGAAATTTAAAAACTAAAGACACACCTAATGAGGGTTTCTGTTAGTTTCAGGTTACTCCAGGAACAAATTGAGTTTTATTCACAAGTGCCCCCATTTGGGGGAAAGCAGAACTAGGTCTCAGAAATGGCAGGGACTGCCAGGCATGGTGGTGCATGCATGTAATCCCAGTGACTTGGAAGGCTGAAACAGGATCGCCAAGTTCAAAGCCAGCCTCAGAACCAGTGAGGCATTAAGCAACTTGGGAGACCCTGTCTCAAAATTTAAAAAAAGGGCTGGACTCCCCCTTCCCCCGCTCCCCCCCCCCAGGAAAAACAAAAACAAAAACAAAGCAAAAAACCTGTAGGGACTGTGGTGGCCCCTGACTTGCCTCTTACTTGCTTTATATGCCT